GCTTTGGCTTTGGTTTCTACACCACGCCTCCTCCTCTGGCCTTGCCCATCGCACATTCTCAGCTCCTTCCTTAGCTCCCCCTCTTCTGCACCCTCCTGGCTAGTGTTTCCCCACCTTCTGCCCCTTTGCACACCACCTCTGGCCCCTCTGTGTCCTCATACTCTCCACCGCCTTCTCATCGCACCTGATTTGCTGCCAGAAACTCCTCACGTCCATTTGTTCTGAGAAACAGGAGGCAAGGTTCTATCTCTGAGTTTGAGGAGAGTGAGGGCATTACAGCTGGTGAGGGAGAGTGGGTGAGACCCTAGTGGCAGGATGTAGAGAGGGTTTGGGGGCTGAGTGGATACATGTGCCAAGCCCCCTGTCAGCTGGCCTCCTCCCACTGGACTCAGCTGCCCGGGTACAGGCACAAAGCAGACCACTGGGTTTGCCCAACAGTGTGTGCCTGCCAGAGGGCAAGAGAGTTATTGAAACGGCTGCACCATGAAGCCCAAGCCGAGCACAGGGAGGGGTAAATGGGCAAGTGAGGCCAAGGGAGGCTGAAGGTGCCAGAAACTTCTGTGAAGCCTCTCGTGCCCCCGCACTGATTACTTCCTGCTTCGCACTACTTCTGTACCTTGTAAAGCTGTCTATCATCACACCCACACACACCACACACTTTACTGTAATCATCCATTTAAAAACCGTGAGCCCGGACTTCCCTGGTGGCGCAGTGGTTAAGAATCTGCCTGCCAATGCAGGGGACACGGGTTCAAGCCCTGGTCCGGGAAGATCCCACACGTTGTGGAGCAACTAAGCCCGTGCGCCACAACTACTGAGCCTGCGCTCTAGAGCCCACGTGCCACAACTACTGAGCCTGCGAGCCACAACTACTGAAGCCTGCATGCCTAGAGCCCGTGCTCTGCAGCAAGATAAGCCACTGCAACAAGAAGCCCACGCACCGTGACGAAGAGTAGCCCCTGCTAGCTGCAACTAGAGAAAGTCCACGTGCAGCAACGAAGACCCAACACAGCCATAAATAAATAAATAAATAAATATATTTTTAAAAACACAAAAAACTATAAGCCCCGGCGTGGGACCTGTCTTTGTGGCTCCCGCACTAGCCTGGAAAAAGACTCAGGGAGGTGAGGAAAGTTGCTCAGCATCTCCTGGTTGGTCAAAGTGGAGCCAATTTCACACTTGCATGTGACCTCAGAGCACCACAGTCAGCCTCTGCCATGCCCCCATTAGTTCCTAATATGTTGTATACAATTTTTTAAGATGCAAGTAAAATGATATTTGCACAGTAAAGTTACAGCTATGGCATTTTTAAAATGTTAATGATGCTTTATACTGTTCTAATTGTAAAGTCCCTTTAGTAGGTTTGAATAAATTAAAGTTACTTAAAATGGGGCAACGCAAACTTCATCTAAATTTAATCAAGATGAAAATAAATATATCTTCTAGGGAGTTAAAGAAGCCCTAACAAATGTTATTTCATTAGTGAAATACCTGAAAACCTCTTTTTTTTTGCGGTACGCGGGCCTCTCACTGTTGTGGCCTCTCCCGTTGCGGAGCACAGGCTCCTGACGCGCAGGCTCAGCGGCCATGGCTCACGGGCCCAGCCGCTCCGCGGCATGTGGGATCTTCCCAGACCGGGGCACGAACCCGTGTCCCCTGCATCAGCAGGCGGACTCTCAACCACTGCGCCACCAGGGAAGCCCCTGAAAAACTCTTTGATTGTCAGCTCCTAGAGGGCAGGAAGTGTGTTTGCTGAATTATTCTTATTTATCTATGAACCAGCACTGACTTTAATAAAGATGTACCATTCACCAAGAGAATCAAGAAAACACTAAGTGCCGCTTTTCAGGAAATGCAGTACCATTTGTCTTATTATTGCAGTTTTAAAGCACTGATTTTGTAGTTAGTTTCCCATTATCCTGCTGCCATTTGACAAAAATGAAAAGGTAAGTTATTCTGCAAGATGAGCTCAGGATTCATTTTCACTCACAAAAAAAGGACCTTTTTGGTAGTTCACAAACAATATCTTACAATGGAGAGCATACCTTTCAAAGCACAACGGCAGGATATTTAATGCTTATTTTACTTCAGTATTGTGAATTTCAAGTAGAAACGATGTGGAGCATTTGTGAATTGGGTCACGATGTCAAATGCTAGAGGAGCCTGTAAAATCTGACTATCTCTAACATCTTAAATTACATGCTAATGGGCATATCTACACAGCCTAGTTTTCTGAATTCATCTTTGCCTGTCTCTTTTTTAAAACCACGGACAGGTTTCCAGGTATCCTGACCCTAGAATGAACAGAGATGGGGAGAGGGTATGTATAGAGAGGGAGCACACTGGAAATATCGAGTCCCTAAAGAAACATTCATTTTGTGTTCTGTGGAACAGAAATAAGCTCCCAAAATCTACATCCTATAATCCTTACTACCTTCACCTCAGGCAAAGCTTACAAAATACCAGAAGGATGCCAATGACCCAATCCCCCATCAATTAAACTGGAAATATTTAATTATTTGGTAAAGAATAAGGAATAGCCTCAAACATTTTCATCTGCTCCAAAAAAAATCAGGGTAACACTTCTAAATCAGAGATAGTCAGGGTGAAATATACCTGTCTTTTTTTTTTAAGGAGCCCATAGCAACCCCTCCCTATCCCTGGTTAGATTCACAATTGATTTATTGTAAGCTGAGCCTGAGGAAAGAGGCAGACGACTGAAGGTATTAGAAATGTCACTGGTGATTTCCTCTTCTTTCCAATTAAAGGTATTGTGCTGTACACAGGGAAGTGAGTTTTTCATCTCAAGTACACAGTAGGGAGAAACAAACCTGAGAAAATTGTGATTGTTTTCATTAAGTATGGTTAACCCAGGCAGCATATATTAGTGCAAAAGAAGAACAAAGGAAATGTATTTCCTTTCATAGTAGGGGAAAAACAAAGTGATATAGCAGTATGGACTGTAATAAGTTGATACATTTAATACAACGGAAAAGGAAACATACAGACCCATATGGAAAGAGAAGTCAGTTTGATACCAGGTTGATAGATCTAGCCAGGCTAACATAAGTTTCAGTGCTTTCTTAAGGCCTCACTAAAGAAGGTATTAAGTAGTTGTATTTTGAAGACTATGCAAGGGAAACTCCAGCACTCTTTTTAAAAGCTAGTTTTATAGCCCAAAAATAAAAGTAAGGAAGGAATAATTATTAAACTAATTATGAGAAACATATACAAAATTTAGAAAATGCAATGCAAAATTTAGGAGTGCAGTACCTTAGCAATATATGAAAACTAAATGAGTCAAAGGAAGGGATGTAAGTTGGAATAAAATATAAATTATACTGATTTCATAAATCCATCACTGTTTTGTTATCTAAGTCAAGTACAGATCTGTTCCTTCTAATAGCAAGGATTTATTTGCAGCCAAGTTTAAGGTTTCTTCAACAAATCTAACAGGATACAGTCCTGGTGGCTTTTTTCTTAAATACTGAAATATATACTTAAAGAAAAAGGAATAAGTCACCAGATAAATGAGGTCTTTATCTAAATATATCTACATATACTAACATACACACTCATATCTAATGTTTGTTTGGTATACAGGACCAGTAATTGTTGGATACACCTCATTTATCCTCTTTCTTGGTCCCAATCTTAACTTCATTCATTAATTACTGAGCACTTAAACCCAGACATGAGCTAGGTTTCTTCAATAAAAATCAGTGAATTGCCAATAATTGAGGCACTGCCCAGAGCCGCCAAGACTACAGCTGTATCCCTGGTTATTGAGGAGAGCAGAAGGAAACATGGGCAGAGTCCAGTGAATTTACTTTAAGTGCAAGGGGGAATTTTGTCAGAGCAGATGTTAAACTAGAGAAGATTATTCAAGGAAGCTTAGAAGTCTTCATAAGTATACTTAAAAGTGATTGTTTCTTCTGAGTACAAACATCTCAAAGTTACTCTTAGGAATTAAGTTGTTTGATTTTTCTATTCCTCTTTGTCCTTGACATAGAAATTCAGCAAGATCCATCTGGGTCACAAAATGAGTATCCTCCAGCTGAGAGAAGATGCAACTTTCTTCCCTAATAGGCAAACCTTTCAAAGGAGGACATTTGAGGACTTTCCAATAATAGGATTGGAAACCCAAGGTTATAATGTGATGTCAATAACACATGCCTCACAGGCTCCTTCTGTGCCAGTGAAAAGTCAGCCATGAGGGGTTGGAAGAAAAGCATGTGGGTGTGAGTGAAACAAGATTGGCAACGAGTAGATAACTGCTGAAGCTGGGTTATGGGCACATGGGATTCATTATACTAGTCTCTCTCCTTTTTTCATAATCAAAAGGCTTCAAACAAAACCAAAGACAAAAAAAGTAAACTAAAATAATCAGAACCCCCAAATAATCAGGAAGAATGGGAGAGTAAATAGGAATAAAGGATTGGGATGGCATGAGTAACTACAATTCGCAGATAACAGAAAAACATTATTTTAGCCAATAACTTAAATCCCTTCCCTCAATGCACAGCATGGCTCCTACCTGGATCTATTCCCATTGCTTTACTCATCCAAATGGATTAACTGTGTTTTTACTTTGCCTGCCCTGTCTTTGATAGACTGGCGCCTAGTCAGGCAGCCCAGGGTGAAAGGAAAAGCCAAGGACCTGGATAAACCACAAGGTGTGCAATACAGTCCATGAATGTCAAAAACTGACAATCTAAACAATAGAAGGTTTGGTAGAAAAAGAGATGTGATTGGCCATTCATTTCCATCTTGAAATTTTACTCCACTCATCACTCAGAAAGCCACAGAAAGGTCAATTACTCCCCCATACACTGCTCTCTATAGAATGGTGCCCAATAAATGACTGTTAATTAGCTAAAATGCCACCCTTGGCCGAATCGTTCAGATACACATGGCCACCACTACCAAAGCCTGACTTGTCAATTTATGCCACAGTGAAAGTGTTTTGTAATAAATCCAACGTATGACGCATGTTCTACCTGATATCCAAAGAAGACCGTCAGCCACATAGCCAGCATGACAGGAGAGGGACCGGTCAAAGGGCTGGACGAAAGTCCACTTGTTCTTCTTGGGGCAATATCGCTCAACGGTCGGCAGAACCTGGCGCAGTTCATTTCTGCCCCCAGCCGCATAGAGGTACTCATCCATGGCTCCCAGAACGAAATGCTCCCGGCAGTTTTTCATGGGTGCTATCTCTGCCCAGGAATTACTGCGGGGGTCATAGCGACAGGCAGTCCTCACGGCACACGTCCGGCCGCTGGCGTGCTCGACTTCCCCTCCTGCTACAAACAGGAAGTCCCCCATGACTGCCACACAATGGTGGCTCCTTCCCACGGGCATGGGAGCCAGCTCACTCCAGTTGGCAATGGCAGCTATGAGGGCATTCTCCTGATCCACGGGATTGAAGTACCGAAGTTCCTTGACTCTACAGACCTCACGCTTCTTCCCACCGATGATGTACAGAGTATCTGACTGGAAGCGCGGTTTGGTCCTGCGAGTCTGCCACACGGGCTGTGCGTAGATACTCTGGTGGTACTCCAGGGCCTCGTTGACGAGAGCTGTTGCGGTTTCACTTGCCTGGACGAGGGGGTGGGACAGGGCAACTGCATGGAGAGTGTCCACGTCCATCAGGCCAAAGCGGATGTACTGCAGGAGCTCATCCATGTACTGGTAATGGCAGCTGTGTTCCAGCCACCTCACAGCTAGCTGAAACAGAGGCAGGGAGGTGGAGAGAGCACGAAGGTAAGAAGAAGCCAGAGCAACGTGGCACAGAGGCCGGCTGCCATGTATTCCTTCAGACTCTTAATAACACTTTTATTTTTTCTTACGAACCATGGAACACTCAAACACTGTTATACACAGTTGAGGGATTTTTTTTCCTTTCCACATCAGCAGAGACACAAAAGAACTCAAAACACTGTTGGAGAGATTAGAACAATGTTAAGCAACACGGATAAGACTTAAAGGATCACTTGAGGTGAACAACAGTTACTTTTCAAAGAATGAGAATATGGTTGTGAAACAGCCTGTTCCCTTAGGTTTCATGCATAAGAGGCTTGCTTCGCCCCACCACCAGGATATGTCAACGGTGAGCCATGTCATCAGTTCAAGCAACATATGTCAACCTGTGAGTCAAGGTGCTGTATCAATATGAGTAATGTGAGAAAATATGTGATCATCTGAGACCACAGGGTGCACTTGAGAGAAAATCAATACGACACTAGTAGCAAGATTTAGAAAGAAAAAGGACTTTCTTCCCCCCCTGCAACTTTTGTAGGTGTATCAGTCAGGAAGCAAGAGAAGAAAAAGAAAGATTGCAACCTATCAATTTATTTTATTTTTTCTCAACTAGTTTTCATCTTGAAAACAGTTGTTGTTTGTATGTGTAAGATACGGGCAATTTGTTAGAACCATTTTCATAAAAACAGGATACAGAGGAGATTATCTTTGTATTATGGACACAAGAGAAGAATGTAATCCTAAGCTTTTTGATTAGGTCTAGATCTCTCTCAAGAAGGAAAGGGGTAAGAACTTTCGGCTATAGACAAATAGAATTTCTTAAAACTAAAGCAGGTGCATTAAGTCATAAATAACAAAATTGAATAGTAGTTTAGAAAATAATATCAACAAAAATCCAATTCATGTTATGGAGCACCTGAAGTAATTTAATTAATTGACTTAAGTTTGGCAAAGCTTTCCACACATCAGCATAGAGAGGTATATCTAGTATCTCCAGTCAACATATTTGATAGAATTTATTCTTAGCAGTACCTATATTAAACTAGATCTCCTAAGCAATATAAATGTGGACCTGAAGCAATTAGCATAAAAAAGTAAAGAAAATACTGAATAATCCTGCTGTGTTTTACTTGCTTTCTGACCAGTGGAATTGGGGTTCTGGGCTTCCTTTATCAGCTGATTCATTGCACTGGGAAAAATGTCTACGGAGAAGACAGAAAGAAATGTAGTGCCATCAGACCATTACTCCTTGACAAACGTGAGCTGGGTTTTCATCCTTGTGAAAAGGATCACTAAACCGTCTGAAGCATTAGATGATTTCAGGCTTTCAGAGTTTCTATATCCATTTGACAAATGGTTCTAAAAGGCAAGGCATATTTTGGGCATGTCTTTTTAGTTTTCCAGATGAAGAGAATGTAGCAAGTGAATTTGCTTCCAATATATACTGAATTGCATCTCTAAATGAATAATGAGTGAAGAGAAATGGAAAAAGAATGTCACTGGTTGCCAGGTAGCCTATGGATGCCACAGAGGCAGACACAATGTAGGGCAGATGAGTGACACTCTATGGCTGTTTTTCTAGAAACTATTATTTTTTATTTAAATAAGATACTAACCTGATGAAAAAAAAAATTACCTGTGTATGGTAACACAGTAATAATCAAAGATAGTGCAGAAGAAAAATGTCACTCATCAATCACCAAGTCTCTGCCAGAAGTGGAGAGTTTTCCCACATGCAACATTCTGGTTTTTCTCCACCCTAATTTTAGAAGTTTCAAGAGATGGGTTCCAATTAGAATTCTACAACTTAATAAATGATTTTCCATTCTTTGCCCACAGAGCTTTCAAAAGTTTTCAGGGATAAAGTCATCCCACTCAAGGTTACTCCTTATGCACAAGGTAAAATTTTCTGAAACTTAATCTTTCATATTGCTCCTAATTTGAGTAATTCCAGATGGTACCGCTTTGTTTTGTAACGAATTTCTTAGCATCCTGATATCCTAATGTTTCTGCATCTTGCATATGGATACTACAGGAAAACAGCACTGGAGAAAGAGCAAATAAACATTCATGTCTCTATAGCCTCTTTTTATAGCACAGTGCTGCCCATTTAATTACTTTTCTCCTTCCTCATAAATCAGTTCTTCCTATGCCCTAATCAATCTTCTAGGCCATCTCTTAACACTCTCTGATTTACCTTTATCTTTCTAGCAAACAGTGTCACTTACTGTATGAAAGATATACAAGCCACAACTAGACTTTGCCTCTAAGAAAATTTCTAAGGAATCAAACTAGCAGTGGAACAGTGACCACTGTGACCTATCTCTGATTCAGTTCTGGCTTTCTGTCTACTTATCACCCCTTACGTCACAATATCATGATGGTTTCCATGTTCAATTTCCCCAAATACTATGTATTACAAACTACTTTGTGAACGTACATTTAATTTGCACTTTCTGGGATAATGTTTATCTTATTTATCGCCAGTATGTCTAACTTCTCACATTTTTCATATAATTTTCACACATTTATTATTTATAAATATTTTCAGACTAAACAAGTCATTCATACTTGTTGGGTTTATCTTTTCTCCAGATCAAAGGTAAATATAATTTACAATTCTGCCAACTTTGAACCAATCTCACCTGGATATAGTGTTATTTACAGATTTAAATCCAGTGCTTCTCAAACCTAACATGCGCATGAATTACCTGGTTTTTCTGGGCAAAATGCAGATTTTGATTCAATAGGGAGGGGGAGGAGGACTGCAAGCCTGCATTTCTAACATCTGCCAGGTGATGCATATGCTGCTAGTCCATGGACCACGTTTTGAGTAGGAAGGTTTTAGACAGATTCCCATTTATGAGACTGTAAATTGCTGCTTTATAAGAGTAAACGAAGTCTGCTGTTTCAAATTTTAAAAGGCTTAAATTAAATGAAGTTTAAGTAGGATGCTTTAGTAAAGATATAGGGCATGTGTAGCTAATACCATAGGTAAGACAGCATATTTCCTTTGTAGTAAGATATGGTTACGCTCTTACTATGGGTAAGACAGCATTTTTTTTTTTTTTTTTTTGGCGGTACGCGGGCCTCTCACTGTTGTGGCCTCTCCCGTTGCGGAGCACAGGCTCCGGACACGCAGGCTCAGCGGCCACGGCTCACGGGCCCAGCCACTCCGCGGCATGTGGGATCTTCCCAGACCGGGGCACGAACCCGTGTCCCCTGCATCGGCAGGCGGACTCTCAACCACTGTGCCACCAGGGAAGCCCAGACAGCATGTTTTGAGACCTTGGCTCTATAAATCCATGGCTGATTCTGATAGCATAAAAGTAAGTCATATAAAAACTCTGCAGTTTTGCTTCTGCAATAATACATAAACAAAAGTAAAAGTGTTACTGTACTCAGTTTTTACTTTGGTGAAACTATAAAAGAGAAAAATCACTGAAATCATGGATCTTACTTATCCAAATAATGGAAGAAATGTCAAAGAAAATCCAAAACAATGGGCTACCTCAAAAACACTTCTACACCATGAACCTCTCCAGAGCACTATCCATTGCCATGCTGAATTAAGGGCAAGGTGGTAGAGGTAGCCCTGGAGCCCAGTTTAAGAGGTTTAGAAACTACAATAAACAGAAGGCTGATTCATCATCAGGGCATCATGGAACACAAAGACCACAGCTAGCTTTTCTGGGGCTTAATGTTTGAAAATGTTTATTCTGGGAACTTTTGGCTTTTAATGATACTACACTTAGAAAGCATAACCCAGGGAAAGCTAATATCCTATTCTATCTTACTTATTCTGGCACACTGACATCCCCATCACCCTAAACGCTAGAATATTTTAATTGAGTGTGGGGGTGGAATGGAGCATATAGTGAAAGTTTTTTGTTTTTTGTTTTTGTGGTACGCGGGCCTCTCACTGCTGTGGCCTCTCCCGTTGCGGAGCACAGGCTCCGGACATGCAGGCTCAGCAGCCACGGCTCACAGGCCCAGCCGCTCCGCGGCATGTGGGATCTTCCCGGACCGGGGCACGAACCCGTGTCCCCTGCATCGGCAGGCGGACTCTCAACCACTGCGCCACCAGGGAAGCCCTATAGTGAAAGTTTTATCTCAGACTCTTCAGGTAACAAAGCCAGCAACAGTGGAAAAGAAATCAAGGATTCAGTTTGGGAGGGCAGATCAAAGAGTACTTAGGAAACAGGGGAATTAGGCAAGATGTTTCCTAAACCATCTGAAACACAGGGACTGTCATCTCCAAAGACTATAGGAGATCTCCCAAGCACCCTACCTAACCCAGTCTAGTACATCTTACCCTGATGGAGAACTGTTCCTTCCTAAAAGGAGCATTGGCTACAGCTTATTCCAACGTCAACTCATCTCATCCTCAGATTCTTGATAAGAACAGTGGGCACGTAGCAGGCTAAACATAATTGTTGCAGAATGGAAAATCCTTTATAACTATTCTTAGGCTATTTGTCATATTTCTCTTGAACCAACAACATCAGTTCCTTAATATATTTATTGATCTATCTATCACAGTCTTCAATTTCCTATTTTATTATCTCATCTTTGTGGCTTTCCTATAAAGCCCTTATAAGCTCACGAAACTCCCCACGGCAGCATGCAATGTACTGGACTTACTTATATAAGGCCCTTGTTTTACTCCCTCCATAACTGGTGCTGGTCACCTCTATTTGACATTCTTGGCAATTCAATGAACATCGTAATCTGTTAATCCCTCAGATAAGTATTAGGGCAAGAAGAAACTTTAGAGTACTTCTGGTTCAAGCTTCCCAGTTTTACTAGTGGAAATAAAATCCAGACAAGCTGTTTGGCTCTTACTGCAAGTCATGCAGCTGATTCATGGAAAAGCTGGAAGCAGAAATCCAGTTTTTAAGTTATATAACGTGTTCTTCTATTATATCATATCATTATTATATCATGTCATTATTCTTCCATCAATA